CACCTGCCGCTTCACCCAGGAGGTGAGCTGCCTCTGGGGAGGGGGGGGGCCCGCCCGCCCAGGGCACCCAGCCCAGGAAGCAGGTCTCCTCCCTCCCCTCGGGCGTGGCTCCCTTCTCTAGAGCTGTGCAGGTCCTAGGCTGGTGACAGGGGTGGCCTGCCCCTTCCTGCCCAGCCCCTGACCTCAGGTGGTCCCTCTCCAGGAGGGCGTTGGAGACACACACAACTCCTACGCCTATGACGGCAACCGGGTGCGCAAGTGGAACGTGACCACCACAAATTACGGCAAGGTGAGGGCCGAGTGCCCCGGACTGTCCCCCGGTGTGTCTGCAGCCACAAGGGACTGTAGGGCACCAGGGAATGAACAGGGACTCGGGCCCTCCCTACTGTGGACCCCGGGGGGTCCTGGAAAGGCTGCTAGGGGTGCAGGGTGGGCGGGCTGGGGTGCTCCTGCACATCTGTGAGGCTCCTCCCATGGCAGGCCTGGGCCGCGGGGGACATCGTGAGCTGCCTGATCGACCTGGATGACGGTACTCTGTCCTTCTGCCTGTGAGTCCGCTGCCCCTAGCCGCAGGTCCCGGTAGGGGGGCCAGGCCAAGTTTGGCGGGGGCAGGGGCAGTTAGGAGGGTGGGCAGCCACACCTTTCTTAGCACTGGCTCACGGGCCCGCCCTCTCCTCCAGGAATGGTGTGTCACTGGGCACTGCCTTTGAGAACCTGTCCAGGGGCCTGGGCATGGCCTACTTCCCAGCCATCAGCCTCTCTTTCAAGGAGTCCGTGGCCTTCAACTTCGGCAGCCGACCTCTGCGATATCATTTTGGGGAGCTGGCTGTGGGCTGCCTGGAAGCACACGGGGAGGCTGGGATGAGGGGCTCCCTATCCTGGGAGCGCTCGGGGCTGGGAGCGGCCGGCCGGCACAAGATGTGAGCAGGGTAGCCAGGTGCCAGAGACGGCCATCCTTCCCGCAGCCTCCTTGCTGGAGGCCGCTCGTCTCTGTTGAGCGGAGGAAGAATGAGAAGTGGTGAGAGGTTTCATTGCATGGAGAACTGGCAGAGAGTCGGGATGCAGACCGGACAGCACAGCCAGCCCTGGAGCCCAGGCCCTAGATCAGGCCTCCGGGGTCTCGGGAGGACCAGCCACAGAGGGCGCGTTGCTGACTTAACTCTTAGCACCTACCCGGTGGCAGGCTACCGGCCCCTGCAGGACCCGCCGTGTGTGGACCTGGTGCGAGCACAGAGGCTGCTGGGCTGCTTCCGGGCAGTGCTCAGCGTGGAACTGGACCCTGTGGTGAGCTGGGGTCTGGGCCGGACGAGCTGGGGGTCTCTCCAGCCCCCTCTCCTCAAAGTCCCTCCTCTCCCCCCCAGGAAGGGCGGCTGGTGGAAAAGGAGGGCTCTGAGTGGCGGCTGCAGGGCCAGCCCACTGTCCTCCTCACGCTGGGCCACATCTTCCAGCACTTCGCGCCATTGCTGGTAAGTGGCCTGGGAGAGGCAGGAGCAGGACCTGCCTGCACTCAGCACGCCCAGTGCAATCTCCTGGTAGGGGCCCTCAGGGACAGCAGTGCCCGAGCTGAAGGCCTCAGGGTGTGTCCTAGAAAGAAGCCTATGGTGATGACAGACCAAGGAAATGGCTTGGGCCAAGCCCCGGCGGGACGGTGGGACAACGGTCCTTCTGGCTCTCCATCCAGTGCAAAGGGCTTATCTGCATTGGGGCTACGGGGAGGGGGGGGTGCTCCAAGACCAAGCCTGAGGGCCATGCCTTCCTGGCTTTGCCACGTGCCAGGGCAGGAGTGTCTAGAGCCGGGGGGCTGCGCCTCACCATGCCCGCCCTCCTGCAGTGCAAAGTGTACCTGGTGGAGGCCGTGCTCCTGGGCTTCCTGCTGGGCATCGTGGAGAAGGGCCCGGTCGCGCAGGCCCGGTCCGTGGTGCACCAGGTCCTGGACCTCCTGTGGCTCTTCATGGAGGTGAGGCTGTTGACCTTGGGCCTCCGCACAGCTGGCGGGCTCCCCTAGAGCGACGAGGTGCGGGGTCTCAGACGAAGCCCCCAGCAGCTGTCCTGGCTCCTCTCCGCAGGACTACGAGATCCAGGATTGCCTCAAGCAGCTGATGATGTCGCTGCTGCGGCTGTACCGGTTCTCGCCCATCGTCCCAGACCTGGGCCTGCAGGTGGGAGCGCCTGCCCCTGCCCTGGCGCTGGGGCCTCACCTGCCCGCCCTAAGCACCCGTCTCTGCAGATCCACTACCTGCGGCTCACCATCGCTGTCCTGCGGCACGAGAAGTCCCGCAAGTTTCTGCTGAGCAACGTCCTGTATCCGCCCTTGCTCCCAGGGGGGGCAGGTCAGCCTGGCAGGGGCCCCGGGGAGGCGGGAGGGCCAGAGCTGCCCTACATCTGAGCCCCTGTCCCAGGCCCAGCGCTTTCTTCGCAGAATGGAGAGGTGGGCGGAAGGTTCCCGCCTGAGCAGACTTGGACGTGGCTGCAGGCTCCTGGGCTCCGGAGGTGTGGGGAGGGTCCACAGGACCTGGGCCGCTGTCCTTGTTCCTCGCGTGGTTCCTGCCAGGTCCCTAAGGGGGCAGCACCTGCAGGTTCCGGGCCTGGAGTGCTGGACAGCCGCAGATCCTCTGGGCTCAGGGTGTGGGGACACTGGCCCTCTGGGGGTGGGAACACCCAAAGAGTGCCTGCAGGGTGCCATCGAGTGAGCAGAGCCTGCCTTGACGACCGCCAGCTTCGATGTGCTCCGGTCCGTGGTCTTCTTCTACATCAAGAGCCCCCTGCGAGTGGAGGAGGCCGGCCTGCAGGAGCTCATCCCCACCACCTGGTGGCCCCACCGCTCCAGCAGGGAGGTGGGTGTCCTGTGGGGACCGTTAGTCGGCACTGGGAGGACTGGCTCAGGTGGGGTTCCTCCCAGGTCCAGTCCCTGGGGTCCTGCGGGTGATGGGGGGCCTCTCCTGGCCGGAGGAGGCGTGGGCAAGCCCTGGGTGAACTCCGTTGTGCTCGCCGCACCCCTAGGGCAAAGAAGGGAAGGAGGCGAGGGAGGAGACGGCGGAGGAGCGGCTGCGGCGGCGCGCCTACGAGAGGGGCTGCCAGAGGCTCAAGAAGGGGCGGGCGGGGGCCTGCCTAGGTTGGGCTCGGGGCCCTCCGCGGGCGGGGGGGGGGCCTGACCAAACCTGCCTCCGCTCCCCGTCCCTCCCTGCCACTCCGCACCCAGTGGTGGAAGAACTGCAGGTGCAGATCCTGAGACTGCTGCTGGACAATAAGGATGACAACGGGGTGAGTGGCCCTAGGCCTCTGTGCGTCCCTGGCACAGAGGAGCGAGCCCGGGAGCGGGGCTGGCCAAGCCTCCTTGGTTGGGCCAACGTTCTCAGCGTTTCTCCCTCCTCTAAGGGCGAGGCCTCTAGGTACATCTTCCTGACCAAGTTCCGGAAGTTTCTGCAGGAGAATGCCAGCGGCCGGGGGGTAAGTGGACCCTGGCTTTGTGGCGGTACTGAGCCCTGGGCCTCTGGTACCCCTAGGCTTGCCTCCTCCCAGCGGGGCCCTGCTCCCTTCTCTGCCGCTCCTCCCTCCCACCTGGCCGGATCCAGGCAGGGCGCTGAGCTGCCCAGCGCATGCTCCACTCTGTGTCCGCAGAACACGCCCGTGTTGTGCCCGCCCGAGTACATGGTGTGCTTCCTACACCGGCTCATCTCGGCCCTGCGCTCCTACTGGGACGAGTACAAGGCTGCCAACCCCCGCGCCTCCTTCAGTGAGGGTGAGTGACTGGGGAGACCAGGCCACTGCGGGCGCTGTCACCGTGGGCCCTTTCCCCCAGCCGGGCCCACCTAGCTCTCCCTGTCTGCCCAGAAGCCCTCAAGGGTCAGCAGGAGGGGCCAGCAGGTGGCATGGTGGTTAAGGTGCTGGATCCTCACCTGACTCACTGCGGTTTGAGTCTCAGACCTGGCGGCTTGATTTCTCACTTTCTCTCTTTCTCCGTCTCTGGTGAGCGCACACCCCCATAGCAAATTAAATAATAATAAAATTAAATAACTCGAGATCAGCAGTTGGCATAATGACTGTGTTACTGGACTCCCATGTAGTCGATCGCAGTTCGAGTCCTGGACCTGGTGGCTTAAACTCACACTGGGCGTGTGTGTGTGCGTGCCCAAGATCCCGAGAAGATAATGGAGGAGAAGGGATTGCAGCGTGGCCATCCCCCCAGGGGGTGATTTCTCGCTCGCTCTCTCTCTCTCTTTCTGACTAGCACACACGCTCCTATAGCAAAAACCTCTCCAAAAAAAAGAAAATAACTCTTTTTAAAAAAAGGAATGGAGGACTGGCAGGTGGCATGGCTGTTAAGGGCTCTGGACTCCCACATGGCTGACTGTGGTTCAAGTCCTGGACTGGGCGGTTTGCTTTCTCACTTTCTTTCTCTCTTTCTCTTTCTCACTCTGTCACTCTCTGGTCAAATTTAAAATAAATAAATAAAGTTAAATTAAAATAATTCTTTAAAAAAAGGAATGGATGAGAGCCCTACCTGCCATGTGCTGGGGATCAGCCTCCCAGAACACCCGTTCCCCAGAGCTGTACAGCTGCTGGCACAGACCTGAAGGGTGGGGGTGGGGGAGCCCTGCCTGCTTGTCTGTGCAGCCAGGCTAGTCCAAGGTCGGAGGTCTCAGTCCATGGGGAGCGGAGGGTGCCCTGTGTCCTCATGCAGGGCCCTGAACGCTGCTGCTCTACTACCCTGCAGAGGCCTACGTGCCACCCCAGGTCTTCTATAACGGCAAGGTGGACTACTTCGACCTGCAGCGCCTCGGGGGCCTCCTCTCACACCTGCGGAAGACCCTCAAAGGTGCACTGGCCGGGGAGCAGTGAGCAGGGCGGGCGGCGAACTGTGGGCAGTCCCTGCACTGTCCTGCCGCGGATGCTGAGCTAGCCTTTGCCACCAGAGGGCGCCCGAGACTCCGTGCTCTGGCAGAGGGTGGCAGCGCCGCCTCTGCCCTGCCCAGGCCGTCTCCCACGAGCACTTGCCTTAAGGAAGGGGAGCGCATGGTGGAATAGGGGCTGGAGTGGCGAGGTGGGCCGGAGAGCAGGTCCTGCCCGAGCTGCCTCCAGCGCAAAGCCCAGGAGGACAGCGCCAGCAGGCTTGCAGCAGAGGCAGTGGGGGCACGGGGTCAGTCGAAAGTAAGGCAGGAGTCCTGGAAAATGAGGCCAGAGGGCCTCAGGCACAGTCTGAGGGGCTTGCAGGACACAGAGGGGCACCTGAGGGGCAGGGGAGCGCAGTGGTGGGGGCCGGGTCCACCCTGCAGGGTGGTCCCTCTGGAGAACCGAGTGTGGGCCGAGAAAGGAGCTGGGGACCAGTTCCAGCCATGGAGGCTCAGGCTCAGAATTAGATGCGGTTCGGGGTGCCCAGCCCCCGGCAAGAGCCAAGCCCGGGCTGGAGGAGGGTGGTCAGTGACTGTCAGTGTGGAGTGGGGCAGCTGAGGGTCCGTGTAGACGCAGGCGGCTAAGGTCTGTCTACAGAGCAGTCAGTGGGGGCCCCGCGGTGTGACAGGCGAGGCTGGAGGGTGGCCGGGAAAGCCCTGACACAGCACGAGCTGCGGCTGGACAGGGCCCTGGGGGTGCAGGCCGAGGCGGCAGGAGTGCATGGACGGGTGGGGCGGGCGCACGGTGAAGGGGCTCTGCCGGCCCTCGCCATCCGGGCAGCCCTGCCATGGCCCCATGCCCCGCCACTGGCCTGAGAACCCCCGTCCTCCCAGATGACCTGGCTTCCAAAGCTAACATCGTGATTGACCCACTGGAGCTGCAGGCGGCCACCATGGACGACCTGGACGAGGACGAGGAGCCAGCCCCGGCTGCGGCCCAGGTGCCACCGCAGGCTTTTCCTTATCACACGGGCAGGGTTGTCACACAGGGCTACCTGCACCCACGCGGGCGGGGGCTTCCCACCAGGCCAGTTTCCTTGCTGTGAGTGGAGGCAGAAACCCTCCTGTCCCGCCCGCAGCCCCAGGTCAGGGGCCCTGGGCCAGGGCACTGAGTAGCCCCCTCACACCTCAACCACCTCCCTGTGCCTCCTCTCCTCCCTGCAGCGCCCCATGCAGGCCCTGGCTGTGGGGGGCACGCTGCCCCTGCCCCGGCCGGGCTGGCTCAGCTCACCCACCTTGGGCCGCACCAACCGCTTCCTCAGCACGGCGGCCATGAGCCTCATGACCCCGCGGCGGCCTCTGAGCACCTCGGAGAAAGTGAAAGTCCGCACTCTGAGCGCGGAGCAGAGGACCCGGGAGGACAGTAGGTGCCAGGCGGACCGGGCAGGGGATCGCGGGCCTGCTGCTGCGTAAACCTCTGCCCGTGCCCTTGCACCCCTGCCTGACACGCGCTCGGCGGGACACCGATGCTACCCAAGGAGGCCCTGCCACCACAGGCCTCGCCCTGCACTGCCCCCCACGCTTTCCCTGCAGGGGCCCCGCGCTGACCCTGCCCTTCCCACCCCCAGTTGAGGGCAGCCATTGGCACGAGGGCCTGTTGCTGGGGAGGCCCCCCGAGGAGCCGGAGCAGCCCCTCACGGAGAACTCGCTGCTGGAAGTGCTGGACGGCGCCGTCATGATGTACAGCCTCAGCGTCCACCAGCAGCTGGGCAAGGTCCTGCCGCGCTCGGGCGGGGGCGTCCTGCGTGCGCGCGTCTGCATGGGTCTGACGGGGGCTCCGTGGGTGGGGTCAGCCCTGAGCCTAAGATGGGGTGCTCGGCAGGGCCGGGGTCTAGGCTGGGTCTGCAGACGCCCTGACCAGGTGCCCGAGGGCCTCCCTGGACATGCGGCGTCCACTGCCCTAGATGGTGGGAGTGTCCGACGACGTCAACGAGTATGCGATGGCTCTGAGGGACACAGAGGACAAGCTCCGCCGGTGCCCCAAGCGGGTAAGGCCGGGTAGGCAGGCAGGCCCTGGAGGGTGTGGCCCAGGGGCTGCCCGAGGAGGCTGCTCCGTGCCCTGTCTGCGGGCTGGCGGCGGGACCTGTGCAGCCCCATCGACCCGCGCCACTAAGTGCTGACGCGCCCACAGCCCTCGTCAATTATGGATGGGGCCCGGTGGCCC